AGAGAGAGAGAGAGAGAAAAAGCTCCTCATCCTAATGGACCTTGCTCATTGACTTACCCTAACTGATCCTATCCGAGGTCCCGTGCATTCCCCCTTGCGTCCCCCGCCCCCCCCTAAGGACTTTCGGGAAGACGGGCGGGGGTGATGGAGGAGGAAGGACGGTTGAGGGCGGTCGGCTATGGTGGACGGGTGTGGGTGATGGAGGAGGAAGAAGAGTTGGGGGTGGTTGGCTATGGCGGACGGGAGTGGGTGATGGAGGAAGAAGAAGGGTTGGAGGTGGTCGGCTATGGTGGACGGGCATGGGTGATGGAGGGAGAAGAAGGGTTGAAGGTGGTTAGCTATGATGGACGGGTGTGGGTGATGGAGGAAGAAGAGGGGTTGGAGGTGGTCGGCTATGGTGGACGGGTGTGGGTGATGGAGGAAGAAGAAGGGTTGGAGGTGGTTGGCTATGGTGGACGGGTGTGGGTGATGGAGGAGGAAGAAGGGTTGGGGGTGGTCGGCTATGGTGGACGGGCGTGGGTGATGGAGGAGGAAGAAGGGTTGAGGGCGGTCGGCTATGGAGGACGGGTGTGGGTGATGGAGGAGGAAGAAGAGTTGGGGGTGGTTGGCTACGGCGGACGGGTGCGGGTGATGGAGGAAGAAGACGGGTTGGAGGTCATTGGCTATGGTGGACGAGCGTGGGTGATGGAAGAGGAAGAAGGGTTGGGGGTGGTCGGCTATGGTGGATGGGCGTGGGTGATGGAGGAGGAAGAAGGGTTGGGGGTGATCGGCTATGGTGGACAGGTGTGGGTGATGGAGGAAGAAGAAGGGTTGGAGGTGGTTGGCCATGGTGGACGGGTGTGGGTGATGGAGGAAGAAGAAGGGTTGGAGGTGGTGGGCTATGGTGGAGGGGTGTGGGTGATGGAGGAAGAAGAAGGGTTGAGGGGGTCGGCTATGGTGGACGGGCGTGGGTGATGGGGGAAGAAGAAGGGTTGGAGGTGGTCGGCTACGGTGGACGGGTGTGGGTGATGGAGGAGAAAGAAGGGTTGGAGGCGGTTGGCTATTGTGGACGGGCGTGGGTGATGGAGGAGGAAGAAGGGTTGGGGGAGGTCGGCTATGATGGACGGGCGTGGGTGATGGAGGAGGAAGAAGGGTTGGGGGTGGTCGGCTATGGTGGACGGGTGTGGGTGATGGAGGAAGAAAAAGGGTTGGAGGTGGTTGGCTATGGTGGACGGGTGTGGGTGATGGAGGAAGAAGAAGGGTTGGNGGCTATGGTGGACGGGTGTGGGTGATGGAGGAAGAAGAAGGGTTGGGGGTGGTCGGCTATGGTGGACGGGTGTGGGTGATGGGGGAAGAAAAAGGGTTGCAGGTGATCGGCTATGGTGGACGGGTGTGGGTGATGGAGGAAGAAGAAGGGTTGGAGGCGGTTGGTTATGGTGGACAGGCGTGGGTGATGGAGGAGGAAGAAGGGTTGGGGTGGTCGGGTATGATGGACGGGTGTGGGTGATGGAGGAAGAAGAAGGGTTGGAGGTGGTTGGATATGGTGGACGGGTGTGGGTGATGGAGGAAGAAGAACGGTTGGGGGTGGTCGGCTATGGTGGACGGGTGTGGGTGATGGAGGAAGAAGAAGGGTTGGAGGTGGTTGGCGACGCGGGCGGGTGTGGGTGATGGAGGGGAAAGAGGGGTTGGAGGTGTTCGAGATTGGAGGAGCGGCGGTGACATTGAAAGCTTATCGGGCACAACCTAACTCTTAACCCCATGCCCCCTTTCTACCCTGGGTGCCCGGCCACCTCATACTATTCTCTGAAGGCACCGGTCACGTGAAAGAGGAAGGACTGAGCGGGGCTACCGGATTGCAAGACACACACCTATTCATACCGCAGGTCACCGGTTGCAACAAATAGTAGGAGTGGGCTGAACAGGTTACCAAGGACTGCAGCACACACACCCACACACGCAGGGTGTCACTGGTTACAGCAAGTGGTAAGGGTGGACTCAACAGGTTACCGGGGACTGCAACACACACACACTCACATACAGGGTGTCACCGGTTATAGCAAAGGGTGAGGATAGACTGAATAGGTTACCGGGGACTGCAGCACACACACCCACACACGCCGGGTGTCACTGGTTACAACAAGGGGTAAGGGTGGACTGAACAAGTTACCAGGGACTGCAACACACACACATACACATACCGGGGTTTACTTGGTACAACAAGGGGTAAAGGTGGACTGAACAAGTTACCGGGGACTGCAGCACATACACATACACATACCGGGGGTCACTGGGTATAGCAAGGGGTAAAAGGTGGACTGAACAAGTTATCGGGGACTGCAGCACATACAAATACACATACCGGGCTTCACTGGGTACAACAAGGAGTAAAGGTGGACTGAACAAGTTACCGGGGACTGCAGCACATACACATACACATATCGGGGGTCATTGGGTACAGCAAGGGGTAGAAGGTGGACTAAACAGGTTACCGGGGACTGCAACACATACACATACACATACCGGGGTTCACTGGTTACAACAAGGGGTAAAGGTGGATTGAACAAGTTACCGGGGACTGTAGCACATACACATACACACATTACAGCCAAATAGCAAGATTGTTTCAGGGGAAAGTTCGCCACTGCACCCCAAGGCAATTCGCCACTTACACATGCATAAAAAACATTGAAAGCATAAGTTTGAGAACACTTAATCCAGCGGAAAGTTCACCGAAGCATCCCAAGGTACTTCGCAACTTACACATGCACCAATTTAGTGACAACTCAAAATTTGAAGCATCTATACGAGGGGAAAGATCACCGGAGCATCCCAAGATGAATGACAACTTATCCAAGCTCCCAAACAAGTGAAAGCACAAGTTTGCAACATCTTCACAAGGGGAAAGTTCACCGAACTATCACAAGATGAATTGCAACTTACCCAAGCTCCCAGATCAGTGAAAACACAAGATTTGAAGTATCAACACAAGGGGAAAATTCACTGAACTATCACAAGATGAATCGCAACTTACCCAACCACCCAAATCAGTGAAAAATGAAGATTTGAAGCATCAACACAATGGGAAAGTTTACCGAACTATCACAAGATGAATCGCAACTTACCCAAGCACCCAAATCAGTGAAAACTCAAG